TAGCACCAGCAATTAAAATCACAATTGAAATGGAGATCTTGGTTATAAAAACTACCAATTTTATACACTGACCATGTGAATAAATGCTACAATAAACAGTGTAGATAAACTAGTGAAATTATTTCAGTCAGTTTCTATGACCGTGATAAACACCATGACCAAAAGAAACATGAGGAGGAAAGGATTTATTTCAGCTTACAACTCTCAGGTCATACTCCATCACTGAGGGAAATCAGGGCAGGAATTAAAGCACAACAGGAATGTAGAGAGAGGAACTGAAGCATAGGCCATGAGGAACACTGTTTATGGTCTTGCTCTCCCCCAGGAAAGCACAATTTAGCAGAAAACACACAAAATATAAAAACTGAAGACCTAAATCCATGTTTTGAAGTCTGCTACTAATAACATATGTAACCCTATGGAAGTTAAGTTCTACACTGCAAATTTTAAAAATTTATCTTTATTTTTATTGTGTGAATGTTTTGCCTGAAGGTATGTCTGTTTGCCAGGCATGCACCTGGTCCCTGTGGAGGTCAGAAGAAGGCATCAGAACAGGAGTTACAGGTGGCTATGAGCCACTGTATTGGTGCTGGGAATAAAATCTGGGTTCTCTGTAAGAGCAGTTGGTGCTCTTAATCCCTGAGCCATCTCTCCAGCCTGACAATTTTTATATGACAAGAAGAGATATAAATGGAATTTACCTCAAAAAGTCTAAATTTATATAAGAATGAATTAGTGGTTAGAAAGGACTACCAACAAAATGGAAAACTTTTAAAGGAATGTTGTTCATGATTTATTTTGAATTTGGACCAAGACTAATTTACCTTACTAAATGAAGTTAGTGATACATATAATGAAGGCAGCTACAACTCTGTCTGGGACTCAGGAACGTGAAAAATGCCCAACATGTGTCCTTACTGACATGGTTCAAACCTTATGAGCCTTGTTCTTTTGCGTGTTCTTGGCCGGAAGGGTTATCCTTTACAAGGTGCACAGAAGGAACAATTGGGATGTGCATCACATCAGGGGCTAGAGATTGGCTATCTTAGAACCAGGAATTGGTAAGCTAGATATCACCTAGATTACGAACCATTTTCAGGGCTCCTATGGCTTTCATCAGGTCTCCAGATTTGATAGTATCAATTCTTTCTTGAATTGACTACAAAACTGGAGTCAGCAGCTGGAAAGATGGCTTAGCAGTTTAAAATGCATTTACAGAGACGGTGGGTTCAGTTCTCAGCACTGATACTGAGGCTCTCGCTTCCTGCAACTCCAACTCCAGTGGATCCTGCGTCCTCCTCTGGCAGCCACAGGTACTGCATACATGCAATGTGCATACAAACAGGCATGTACACACAAATATGAACAAACAACTATGCGCATACTCATACTAAAAAGAAAAAGAAAAAGAAAAAGCCTAGAGAGCCAGTTCCAGTTCTTCCAGAAACCAAAGAGTACAGAAGAGAGATCACTGGGTGTGGCCTCACGAAATACCCCGGAAACACAGCTCTCTCCCCACCCACCCACATCCTGTACCGGGGACATTTTTCTTGGTGGACACAGCAAATGCACATGAGGAGGAATCACATCTGGAAAAAGCAGTAAACCAAACTTGCCTCCATCTAATGGTGGAGCACCTGTTAGCTGTTGGTGAGTGGGGGTCAACTGGGACACCATGTTTCCTGACATAGTTGCCTCAAGTTTGGGCATTGGAAAAAAATGGATTGGGTGTTTTGGGGAGGACTTCCAAAGTCCTTAATCTGCAACTAAATTCAAGCACTAGGGCCAGTATGGGGTGCTTTGCTCCTTTTCCTTATCCACGTAATGTCCTTGAAGGGAAACTTTTGGATACTCAGTGAAGTTTTCCTGGTGGAGAAGGGAGTGTGTTTTAGCCGGCATTCTGACTAGCATAGGTGCATAGCTAGAAAGTTCCTTGTGGAGGCTAGGTGGCTGATGAAGTCTGAATTTGATCCTTGCTGAGGACAGGTTCTGTTAGAAAATAAAAGTGCAGGTAAAATAGTACATATCAAATATTAAACAGCATTAATTGTACACTGAGAGCATCAGAGGATTAGATCTACGGCGTGGTTCATAAGGCTGTAGTAAAGGATTTATTCTGTGTGAGGGTAGGTGTGCATTGTGTATGGCCAGGGCGATTAGAAGCGCCAAATCTCTCTGGTGTTTGAGTTACGAGGAGGTGTAAGCCGCCAATGTAGTTAGTTGTTGGAAGTGGAACTTGCATGCGCAAGCGCTTATAACGGCTGAGTCATGTCCGCAGCCGCAGTAGCCCATTTAAAAAAAAAAAAAAAAGAAGAAGAAGAAGAAAACAAAAATCAGGAAGTGGTTTTTTTTTGTTTGTTTGTTTGTTTTGTTTTGTGAGCGCGCGTGGGCATGCGTAGGCAAGCACATAGAATTTCGCATGGAATCCAGACATCAAGTGCGCTGCCACTTTGTGCTCGCTGGTTTGTTGCTCCTTTACATCTCTGCTCGTAATCAGGCAGTGGTCAACTTTCGGAAGGTAGTTCTCGGGCCTTTTTGGTTTTCTTTCCTTCTTTCCTCCCTCCCTCCCTTCCTTCCTTTCTTCTTTTCTGTGTGTGTGAGAGAGAGGGAGAGAGAGAGAGCGCTTTGTTTTCTGAGACAGGGTTTCTCTGTGTAACAGTCCTGGCTGTCCTGGAACTCGCTCTGTAGACCAGGCTGGTCTTGAGACCCGCCTGCCTCTGCCTCCCGAGTGCTGGGATTAAAAGTGCGCGCCTTCTGTGGCTCGCCGCTGCCTCTCTTGTGGCTCTAGCCTAGCCTCTCGCTCACCTCTCCCCTCATGCCTTTCCCCTAGCATCTCCTGTCCCCTCTCCTCTCCCGTCTCTCCTCTCCACCCTTCCCCTCGGCTCCCCTCCTCTCCTCGTGTCTCTGCTTCTCTCCTCTTGCCTCTCCTCTTCCTCTCTCTTCGCCTTTCTCCCCACACCCAGGCTGTGTCCTCGCCCCTCGATTTCTTTATCTCTGTGTGTATGAGTGTTTTGCCTGCACCGCCTGTTTTGTTCTTTGGAGACCAGAAGAGGATCCCTTGGAAGGCGAATTTTAAACGGTTGTGGGTCTACTGTTATGTGGGGTTTAGGAAGGAAGCCGGGTCCTCTAAAAGAACACCAAGTACGCTTAGCTGCAGCACAATCTCTGCAGCAGTGCTCGCCCCTACCAAGTGAGTCCCAGCCATCTGACTCAAGTTGTAAGGTTAGTAGAAAGCTCCTTTAACCACCGAGCCACCTTGCCAGTTCCTTGGAAGTCATTTTTAAAAGATTTTCATTTTTTTTTGGTGGGCACACATGCTTATGCCTGTGGCAGGAAGCTGGGAGCAGCAGGGTCGAGAGAGGCGATTGAATTCTTGGATTTTATACAGCCTGTTGTGCGCTGCTGGGAACTGAACTGGGATTCTCTATAAGAGCAATAATTAATTACTCCTAACAGGTGAGCTGTTTCAACAGCCTCCTCTAACCCTTTTGTTTTGGGGGGGCAGGGTCTCACTATGTAACCCCGACTGCCCCACAGCCACCGGGCCTGGGCTTCATAAGCCGGTTTTAACAATCTCATTTGTGGTGGTTTCCAAAAAGGGACTATACAGTTCTTTTACACATGGGTTTGATTATTTCTGGGTGTTAACCAGAGACAGGAATCAGAAGCAAGATAATGAAGGGGGTCTTTTTTTCTCTCCTATTCCTCTTCTGTATTCTGTCTACCTACCCTTCCTCAGAACCCGTTCTCGGCAAGGATCAAATGCAGACTCTATCAGCCACTGCAAACCTCTAGAAGCAACCTTCTAGCTCTGTGCCTATGCAACCAGAATATTGGTTAGAGCACAGCCACAGGCTGCTCACATGCAAAGTGTTTGTGGATGTCACAGTGGTCCATGGAGAAAGTGCAATGAATCAGTAATGTGGATTGGGGAGGAGGTTATGTCCACCCATGCACTGATAAAGAGCACCATTTCCCACTAGCTCATGATCATTATACCAGACAAAGATCATTTGGCTTCTGCTGACACAAAAATCTAAGAAGTGCCACACTATGTCCTATGTTTGGAAGAACAAGACCTGTATCTTTGCATACTTGCTACCTCCTGAGAGTTTTGTTCTTTCTGAAGGATCACCTGCCTCTGGGGAATCAGGCCATCAAGGGGATTCTTACCCTGGAGAATACAGACTCGTATTGTTTTTAAAATAACCTGGCACTTGAATATCTTGTAAACAAAGGGCAGCTGTACTTTTTTAAAATGTTAAACACATACTCGAATACGCAGGAACTAATTTGTACAGGACCCTTTATAGTGTTTAGAGATGGGCATCCCCCAAGTATCAGTGGTCTGTTTCCGTTGCGGGAGGACATTCACTGAGATGCATTCAGTTACCTTGCCTCTAACGATATCTCTGATCTTACTGTCTCAGTTTTCCTCTCCGTGTTAATACAGTGGAAATGGGAAAATGTTAAACAGTCTGTGTTAATGGGCATGGAAGTTAGTCTTTCACTGACTGAAGCTGAAAGACTAGGATTATCTATTGTGTGGAAAAGGACCAGAAATACGCTTTACTTGTGACAATTGGACCGACATGCACAAGTACTGGAGAGTCCCAGAGCTCCTTAGGTGCTAGTTTTGTCATTCACCAGTTCTTCCTAAACTTTTCACCAAAAATGAGGGCATTGTCTTTACTGAGCTATGCTGTAATCTAGTGTGGAAAAAAGGAGAAGTGCCCCTTCAGAAGTAATGTATACCATAATGCTTGACAGTTGAATTTAAAGGAGCGTTTTTACTTTTCTATCACTTTTCTTTGGTAATAAATTCCAAGTTAATATATCATGTAATTTTTCCTTTTTGTCTCTCTCTTCGCCTGTATCTGCCATTAGGAAGAAGATTCATTTATTGGTTTTGTATTGGTGGTGCGTAACTTGTGGAAGGTAGCACCAAGGGGGTAACAGTACCAGCCAGAAAAGTAGAACTGTTCCTGTAGCAAGTGACAATGAGTGAGGTGAAGGCAGATGGGTGCTTCAGCGCTCACATGAAGGGTGTGCAGAAGAGGAGTGATAGCTCCCGACCAGAAAGTTACCCTCCCAAAAGTGCTCAGCAGCACTTCCACAACAATCAAGTACCTGGACCACTAGATGTTGCCCGAAAGCTTCACAATTTGTGCTATCAGTGGCTGATACCAGAGACCAACTCAAAAGACCAGACCGTGGAGTCTCTGGTGCTAGAGCAGTTCCTGAACATTGTGCCCCAGGCAATGAAGAACTGGGTGCAAAAGCATCATCCACAGGATGTGGAAGAGGCTGTGGGTCTTGTCGAATGCTTGCAGACAGAGCCTGATGCAGTGCCCAACGAGGTGAGAATTAAGATTCTTTGTAATGCACAATGTCATAGGATAACAGTATATGTGTCTTGGTTTGGAGCTATCAAAGAGTGAGGCAGATTTAGTCACATTTTCTCATTCCCATAGAATGGCTAACCTGGGGCTGGAGAGATGGCTCAGCGGTTAGGGACAATTCCCAGCACCCACATCAGGCAGCTCAAAACTGTCTATACCACCTGTTACAGGCGATCTGACACCGTCACACAGACACACACACAGGCAAAACATCAATGTATGTAAACTTAAGAAAATAAATAAACAAAATCTCGAATGGCTAGGCTGGATCCAAAATAATGTACTGCCAGTCACTCCCTGAGGTCCAGAGTTCCTGGCAGTCTTCCATGGCCTTAAAGTCCAAGGATTGATGGTGCTGGGCCTAATCTAGCAGATCTAAGAATACAAGGCTTGAGATGCAGGAACAGAAATAAAAGGCAAGAAAGGTATGGGGAGGCAGATCTAAAACATATTACAGTACAGAGACTAAAGTAGAGGGTAGAGAACAGAAGCACAAACTAAACAATTTTGGGTAGAGTACAAAGGAAGAAGAAACATGTAAAGCAAAATTGAAAAAAAAAAAAAAGACATTGATAAGAATGCCCACAGAGAAAGAGAGGGAATCTAGATACTGATGGGGGTATCCTCTAATGAAAACACAGCCCTTAGTTGAGAGCAGAGGGCCTCCACTATCCTTTCCTAATGACATGTTCTCGGTGCTGCTATCGACTGGGGAACCAAGATGCACCCCTCAGGTGACAGAAGCATATCACCTCCCTACACGAGCCAACCTAAGAATATAAGGCAGAGTTTATTTTTTTGGTCTCTTATTGTAACCAAGTCATGTAGAAAGAGGTTGGTACTTGTCCCTGTCTTCATTTTTCTCTTTGTTTCATACCCTTTCCCCTACAAAAGTTTTTCTTACTTTTAGAGAGATTTCAAAATTGGTGCACCAAGAAAACCTTTTCCATGCCTTATTTTTTTATATATAAAAGGGAAAATCACTTCGTGAGGGTCAGATTCAAGAAAGCAAGTGATGACGGTTGCTTTAAAGCAACACCCCATTGTGCACAACACAACACTGGTTGTGTCTTGAGCTGTGGCTGTGTATGTAGTCATGGAGGTTGCTGGGGGGAAGGGCTGGAAGAAGTCAGACTGCTTTTTGTTATTATAAGTCTCACGTTTTCAAGCAGCCTCATTTCTGCTTTGTCCTTCTGCTAAGGCCCATAGTGACCACTAGGTATTCTGGGGTTTGTTAGACCTTAATGCTGTCCAGCCAACTAGATCGGGCATGATGAAAATGGGAAATGGCTACTTCCCAGGCTGTTTATTGGTCCACATGGCTACTTCTTGTCATTTCAGTTTTTCCACCTAAATTCTATAATGCTAATTTCTTCAGCAAGCAGACTACCACGTGATCCAGAGGCAGATAACCAAACAGCAGTGCTAGTATTAAATTCCAGTCCATTCCCTTTTTAGGACTTGTTGACATTTGAAGATATAGAAATGCAGTTTTCTGAGGAGGAATGGTGTTTACTGGATCCTTCTCAGAAGACGCTCTACAGTGATGTAATTCTGAACATCTACAAGATGGCCAACTCTCTAGGTAAAGATACCCCTTCCCCTCTGTTTATAAGGGTATATAATGTGGCCTGTGTTTATGAAAATACACCCTGTGAGAAAGCTCCTGTTGCAATATAATTGAATTAAATTGCTTAACTATTGAATCCGGGACTTCTATTTTCTGGTTTCAAAAGCTTTGCCAGATGTTAATTATCTCTTTTAAAACATTCTTTTTATCCTCTCCCCAATGGGCATCTACAGAATAAAAGTTTTTCATTTTAATGAGGATGAATTTTTCCTGTTAGAGTATATGGTTTCACCATGAAGGCTAAAACTCTTAACTCCCTTACCTCTAGATACTTAAAATTTTTCCTAAATCTTTTAATTTTATATACAGTATGAAGTTGAATTTGAGAATGGTTGTTTACCTATAGGTATTTTTATTATTCATGCTTCTTTAGAGGAACAGAACTTACAGAATGAATGAATGCATACATACATATGTATATATATGTTCATGAGATATATACATACATACATGTGTATATATGTACACATAAGTACACACATACATACATACATATATATATATATATATGAGATTTGTTTTTATTAAAATGGCTTACAGGCTGTATGGTACAGCCATTTAACAATGGATTTCTGTTTTTGGCTGTCCACATTGGTTAAGGCTTGCTTTGCTTTTTGCAAGTTCCTTGGAGAGAGAACTTAAAGACTACTACCTTGTGAGCCTTCTTTTCTACCATAAGTGATTCAAGGCTACATGTATTCCTTTGACTACTTCCTCAGCTCTACTCTATATAATTTGATGTAGCTTAGCTTCATTTTCATTCAGATCTTAAGTATATTACAATTCTTTCTTTCTCCTTTTTTTGTTTGTTTTTGTATTTTGTTTTGAGAGAGGGTTCTCTGTATAACAGTCCTGGCTGTCTAGAATTCACTCTGTATACCAGGCTGGTCTCAAACTTAAAGAGATCTGCCAGTCTCTGGCACAACCACCAGAAGTCACATATTTCTTATAAGCCTATTGCTTCCCTGTGTCTTTAAGTTATATCAATTCTGTTGTTGCTTTTTAGTTTGATTACACCTTTGTCAGATTTGCCATTCATTCAAGTTACAACTGTCTTAGTTCTGAGTCTGATAAGTGACTTTTTATTACATTCTGATAGTTTTATCTATTACAATTAGAGAGTGCCAGTGCTATTTATGCATGCTATTTTAATGGACATCCACTTTGCGGTTTTTTGTTTGTTTGTTTGTTTGTTTGTTTTTGTTTTTGGTTTGTTTTTGTTTTTTTTTTTTTTTTTTTTTTTTTTTTTTTTTTTTGATTTTCTGAGACAGGGTTTCTCTGTGTAGTTTTGTAGACCAGGCTAGCCTTGAACTCAGATCCTTCTGCCTCTGTCTCCCGAGTGCTAGGATTAAAGGTGTCTGCCACCAATGCCCAGTTTGTTTATATGGTTTTCTTCCAACGAGTTTTGTTTTCAGAGGTTTTGTGGCATTTATTTTGTGTCTTTTGGTTCCTCTAATACTGCTAGATCTACCATGGGTTCTGGATGATGCTGTCTGAGGGTAAGGAAGGCATTTGCCTAGACCAGATATCCAGTTGTGCAAGGGGAATCTCGAAATAGGGAGGAAAAGGGTTCCTAAGTCAGGTCACTCCTGCTAGTTCTGGGTCTCTCCCACTGTCACTGTCACAGCTCTTGTTCGAAGAAAAGGATCACCGGCCTATAATTCACACCACCAGAGAAACTAAGGTACAAGGAGGAACCTAAGAGATTCATACAAGGTCCCTCACAGAAGGGGAAAGGGACAAGTTCTCCTGAGCATATTGGGAGTGGAGTGTCAGTGAGTGGAAAGGGAGCTAGGAGAAAGAGAAGGGGAGGAGAGAAGAGCATGTGGGACCAGGAAGATTGAGTCAGAGGACTAATAGACAAGAGCAAAAAATAGATACCATTAAAGAGGGAGCCATTATAGGTTTGAAAAGGAAACTGACTCTAGAGAAATGTCCAGAGATCTACAAGGATGATCCCAACTAACAATCTGAGCAACAGTGGAAAGACTACTTTAAATGTCCTTCCCTGATAATGAGTTTGATGACTAACTTATCCAACATCATAGAGCCCTCATCCAGTAGCTGATGGAAACAGAAGCAGACACCCACAGCTAAACACTAAGCCAAACTTCTGGAATCCAGTTGCAGAGAGGGAGGAGTGATGAGCAAAGGCCAGGCTACAGAAACCCTCAGAGACAGCTGACCTGAACAAGGAGGAGCTACTGGGCCTCAGACTGATAGCTGGGAATCCAGCATGGGACTGACTCAGACCCTCTGAACATGGGTCTCAGCCAGAAGGACTGAGCAGTCTAAGGGACCTCAGACAGTGGAGCCAGGATGTATCCCTGGTGCACAAAAGGACGTTGGGAGCACATTCCCCATGGAGGGATACTCCCTTAGCCTAGAGACAGGAGGGAGGGCCTAGTCCCTACTCCAAATGACTTGACAGATTTTTTTGACCCCTCCTGGAAGGCATCACCCTCACTGTGGAGTGGGTGGCGTGGGATGGGGGGTGTTGGTGAATAAGGGAGGGAGGGAGAGGGAACTGGGATCAATATGTAAAATAGGAAAAAATAATAAATATAAAAAAAGAAAAAATATCTCATGGTACAATGCTGATACTTCTTGTTCATTGGCCTTTATGCGACATCATCGCTAGATGGAGCTGTTTATACGTGTTATCTCTCAGCTTCTAATGAAAGTTTCCATGCTGGGATGGAAGGCAAGTACAATTCCCCAGCCTACTTATTGTTGACAATTGGCAGGAGGGTTCCTTTTCAGCATTGTATTTGCCTTCTTTCCACATTTTATCATTTCCTTTTGTAACTAATGGCATCATTGAATGGGCTTTATGCTGTACTTAACAGATTGGACCAAGGGCCAGAGTGACTCATTTATGTATTTCTTTAAAGTAATTATTGACAATTCTCTCTAGTCCTTTAAATTTTCTTTTGTGTGAAACACATACCTGACGGATGCTTTTCTTTGTATGACCAGGGTTAAAGCCAGAAAATGACGTGGGAAACGATCGGGCCGAATCTGCCTCTACATCAGAAATAAAAGCAAGACCATCTTCGAATGTACCAAAGGCCAGGAAGAAAGCTACCCAGAAAAAAACCATCAACAAGGAAAGACGTGCATACACACGGAGGGGCCAGGAAGGTGGTCAGGCTCTTCCAGGTTGGGAACACATGGCAGGTTCACTTAGTAAACCACATCCTCGAAAACCTTATAACTGTCAGGAGTGTGGGAAAGACTTCAGAGTTCCTTCTGAGCTTGCTAGACACCAGAGAGTTCATACCAAAGAGAAGCCTTTTTCATGTCAGCAGTGTGACCGTCACTTCAGGTGGAGTTCAGACCTCAAAATACACTGCCTGGCACATCAGGGAATAAAACTACATAAGTGCTCCTGGTGCCAGAAAAGCTTTGTTCACAGCACAAACTTACATATACACGCGAGGATTCATACAGGAGAGAAACCCTTTAAGTGTCTGGAATGTGGGAGAGCTTTCACTCAGAAATGTCACCTCATTAAACACCAGATAGTCCACACTGGTGAGCAGCCCTATACCTGTAGCCTATGTGAGAGAAAGTTTAACAGACAGTCGAGCCTTGTCAGACACCAGAAGATTCATTGTCAGGAAAAACAGCCAAAGCAGCAGGCTAGAAGTAAATCAGAGCAGTGAAGTGGCAAACTGTAGAGAAGATTAGAATCTGCCCAGAAAAGAAAACTCGGGAGAGTTATGTTTCATATCACAGAAGGGAACCTACGCGGCTCCCCACTCCCAGAACTTAGATTTCGGTGTTTACCACAAAATGGGCACACACTAAATGTGTTCTGAATAAAAGAATGAAAATTTGGTTGTCAACCGTGTCTGTGGTTAGGTTTTTCTCGAACGCTGTCCTCTGGTGTCCGGCGCCATGAACCCTGCATTCATTCTCCGTACTTCCTCAGAAGAGACATGGGATGCCATTGCCGCCCTTGTGGAGTGAGTTCAGAGAGATTCATATGTGTGGGGCAATTTCGATGGTTATGATTTTAATCTCCATAGGCAACCGAGATGAAGCAGAGCAACGTACTTGTGAACAGGAAGCGAGGACTAGGTTTTCCCAAGCACAAGTCTTCCCATTGTGGTTGTCCTCCTGAGTTCTTACTACTACGTTGTCTTCTTTCAAGGAGTTTGGGGAGTAATAAAAGCCCTGAAAGTCACAAGCATTTGGACTCCTCTCGCAATTCTCTCAGTGTGTGCTTGCAGAATGAAACGATCAGGGAGGCACTGCGTATCCACATCTAGTTACCTGTCTCAGTGGAAGTACAACCCATTAGTGAAATGCCTTGATTATTTTGGCTTTTATTATGCACCCTGAAGTCTGTCTCTAAAGGGAGGTCCACTTTTGCAGTTTCTTAGTCCTAATTGAGTATGGCTGATTTCCCTATAGCAAGGTCTGAGCTGATAACATCAAGGAGCCTTATGTAGCCTCTTTGACATGATACACATCTAATACTAGAAGGAACATCCAAAAGCAGCCAGACAAAGACATGTGGCTTAGACTTAAGGTACCCATCAGAGCCAGGCCAGATGGAAACTGCTTTATGATAATGTCATTTTAATCCCTTCTCCAATTGTGCAAGTATCCCTTAAAAAATAAGTAGCATACATGAATTGAAAGGTATATCAAAGGCTAATTTACAGTATTGGGCAAGGTTGCCATGTATTTTTAAAATATTGACATTAAAAATGACATTTCATGCTAAATTTGAATATTGAACAAACGTTTTAAAGCCAAATACCCCCAAATGACCAATGTTCACTTCTTAACTTTTTGAAATTTATTTTTCTTGTGTGTAAATGTTTTACCTGTATATATGTTTGTGCATCATATTGTGCAGTACCAAAGGAACGCCTTAAGATGTCATTAGATTCCCTAAAACTGGAGTTAGAGACAGTTAGCCACTTTGTGGGTTCTGGGAACTGAACTTCAGTCGTCTGTGAAAGCTCTTAACCACTGAGCCATCTCTCCAGTCCTAACGTTCACTTTTTGAATAGGTGCTTCAAGGCAATTTTTCAAAGAGACTTTACAGAGCCTGTTTTCAGCTTTAGAAAATGGGAATAGTTCCTACCTGAGATCTACTGTGTGGGTTAAATGAGGCATGTAGAAGAGTGATCGGACACATTAGGTGTTCAAGAATCACTTGGAACATCCTTCATCCACCCAACGATTTAAAGAAGAAAATAAACATTGTATGTTCACACTGTTTAATTGTACTTACATCATTGCCACTTTCCTTTTAATTAGATGCTGCTCTCCATTTAGCCTTTAAAAGATACTACTACAGCTAGATACATATGCTGGTCAGAGTACACCGGAGTATACCAAAGAATATATTTCCAAAGGATGGAGACTGAGCACCCACCATCCACCCATTTCATGGCAACCTGCAGTTGCACCCCAAGATCTAAAGTGAGCTAGCTTTCTCACTCTCTATAAAATACATATACATTTTTTTAAATTACTGCTGGAGCTGGAGAACTGGGTACGTGGTTAAAAGCACTGACTGGTCCTCCAGGGGACCTGGGTTCCATTTCTGTAACCACATGGCAACTCACAAATATTTCTAACTCAGTTCCAGATGCTCTGATGCCGCCTTCTGATCTCCTAGGGTACCAGGTACACTTGTGCAGATACAACACTCATAAACATAAAATGTTAATTAAAAAAATCACTAGTTGAGCCCCTTCTCGAGTAGGCTGGTGCTTTCATTGTTCTTGGAGGGCCTCAAACCTGTTTCCCTCTCATGATATTTCCTAAGAGCTCCATCCCTGTGCTGTCCCCAGGGACACTGGCATGCTTATGGCATCCATGCCCTTTGACTGTTAGGATTGACATTCTCGGTACAAGCACCCCTTCCTCCCAGCACCTTGGCTGTTGTGCGCTGTGGAAAGCACAGTTTAGGTGGACCTGGCAATGGAACTGGCCACAACCAGTCAGATGTGCCTCCATGTCTCCCTACCAACCCTGTTTGCTGGCTAGCAGAAACCCAGCGTGTTCAACTACACTGTTCCCTCTTGGAAAGGACCAAGTCAGAGACGCCCTAGGAAGTAGAAATGGATAGGATGCTTACAGGCCTTTCCCTGAACATTCCGAATTCTTCCTTCATGCTGAAAGGAGGGCAGGGACTGGGATCTATCTAGTGCCAAAAAATTGACAATCGGCAATGAGTGCTAGGAAGGAGAGGCACTTCAGTGTCTCAAGCCTGTCCGAAGTTATCTGAGAAAATGGGGCTTCTTTCAGCTGCTGAAATGAGTAGCCAAGGGCAGGGTCCCACCCTTGCCTCAGTGGTTCTCGGCTTCTGAGATCAATTCAGGTGCTAAAGAGGACCTTCCCTGGTCTAGAGAGCTGGTCTGCATTTCTCCAGCTCGGGGTGACCACAACAGCCGTGCCAGTGGCTATCCAGACGCTTGGCCAGACGGCAATGGTGCAAGGGTCACAGGAACTACAAGAGCAACAATGCATTGCCGACAGCAACAGTAACAGGCGAGACAGCACCAGCTGTGCAGACGGGCAGCAATGGCAGGAGCACCAGCAGTGGTACCAGCAGCCCGAGCAGCTAGTGCATCAACTGCAATGGAGGCAGTGGCCTCAGCTAAAGCAGGAGAATTGCTGTAGTCTCAACAGAGCTTGTTCATCTCTCCTCACCCAAGAGGTTCGAGTTGGCTTCGTGCACACTGTCCCTGGGGACACCTGCCTGGCCTCTGACTCTGCAGGAACCTTCACCTTTGCTACCTACCTCAGACTGGCTCAGTGTTAGGGGCCTCGACTCACCAGACACCTGGACAGTGGAACAGATCACTTTAGCTTGCCACGACTGGACTTTTTTGCTCACCTCACCCTAAAAATACTGTCAGGCCATCCTAAATGCTCTCGCTCTCTCTCTCTCTCTCTCTCTCTCTCTCTCTCTCTCTCTCTCTCTCTCTCTCAATAATAATGTGAGCTGGCTTTTGGCTAACACCAAAGAGAAACTGGCTTTGAAGAGGAATACTTTCCTGCTTATTTAAAGTTTGAGCTATAATATTTCTCATACTACACTGTCATCTATAAATCTTTCTTAGATCCGAGACCCAAGTCACAGAGAAGTTAAGCATGTTTTACAGAGACAGAAACTGCAAGATTCAGCATTTTCAAACAATGAAAGATTTACATAGCAAAGGTATTGTCATAGTTATTCTGTCTAATGGGCAGCAGTCTTACTGAACAAATATTAACAAAAATACATCCACAGTAACCCTAAGCTCTTAATTATGTCAAGAACTACAGTTCTACATTTCTTTTTTTTATTTTAGTTTCTAAAAAGGCTGGTTAGTAACCTACTTATCTTCCAGTCATAGTAGAGTTAGTGCTCCTTTAGTCAAGTTACACTTTTGTAGAAGTTAATATTTTCTAAGCAAATTTAGTATTGAATAACTTTACAGCACCAATTTATTGACTTCACTGTTCCTTCATCATAAGGAATACACCATAAAGCACAGTGCATAGCCACAATTTCTATTGATGAGGAGAGTTGGTGTATGAAATTTGCTATGTAGGTTTCGAACATCTGAACTTGGCAATGGTGTACAGATACTGCTATGAGCTAAGCAAGAAACTAAAAGATGACTTCACTAATTTTCAGATCTGTTTGTACACACTTCTATTGGATGATGATAGGACTAATGAGAGCTAGCATTTTAGAGCATACCCATTTTGTCCCTGGTTAATATGGAACATTTTATATATTTCTTGAAGTCATCTCTGGAAATTTAATAATCAAGTGAGACTAATGAGCCTAGTGCTGGCAGCTCACACCTTTAATCCCAGCAGATTAATCTGGAGGCAGAGGCAGAGGCAGGAGGATCTGTCAGTTCGAGGCCAGCCTAGTCTACAGAGTGAGGTCAAGCACAGTCAGAGAGCTACATAGTGAGACCATGTCTCGAAAAACAGAGAAAAAATTCATTTTTAAAAAGGTTTGATAAGCTAACAGTGATGAAACTTTACTTCAAATATCAAAATCTGGGCCAGGCATTTAGTATTCACCCATAGTTTTAACCTGCTGTGAAGATCTTGCTTAATTTTCTGTATGTGTATGTGGATTTTTGCACGTAGCTTTTATCTCCTCTTAAATTCTGAACATGTGAATAAAAGGGATATTTCTATTATTAATATTTAACTGATTGCACAAAAGCAATATTTAACTTTTCCTGTTTCTGATTGAACATCTTGTTTTGATTTGTTGGTGTAGTGTATGCGTGTTTGACTAATTGTTATGGGTTGTTATGGGTTGTTGTCAGTCTGGTAGAAGGTTTGATGTGGAGTGTTATGCATTTAATAAATAAAAAAAAAGCTTTGCCACTGACTTCAAAGTGCTATGTGGCTACAAATTGGCTGTTCAGTTAATAATATACAATACAAACCCTATTGCACTTAACACTTCTGGAAATGAACTTAACGTCGAATTGTATGTCTTGAAATTATATTTATAAATTCATCTAACTAAACCAGAACCATATCCATCTGGAAGGAAGTTATTGTCTGTAGGTTGGAGAATGAAATAGAAACCTTTACAATAGGAGAAAGAAAAGAAGGCCTGGAAGTCTTAGAGTGTGATGTGTGCAGTCCCCGAGCCCTACAATTAAGCAGCACCCTGGGC